TAAGCGAGATTAGTGGAGAATGATTTGGCTATTTTCCAGTTCATACAGAATTTAAGTAGGAAGAGATTAAGAGAGAACATGATATGTTGAGATAGAAGTGAAAAGAGGAGCAAAGTGTTAGACAGTAAAAAAGAACATGAGTTAAGTGTGAGCAATGTACCAGAGTGTTCTAGATGTGGCAAAAGACATACTAGATATTATTCTCTGATGACTAGACCATCTTCTAGGTGTTGATAGTGAGTACATCAGATGGCTGGTTGTCAACTAGAGTTGTAGTGAACATGATATGGATTTAACAGAGAGCAAGCTAGACAAGGCTATGGATAGAGGATTGTGGAATCTAGAGAATACAATGAAGGATGTGTAAGCAGGACATGTGGACAAGGTGTTATTAAAGATCAAAGAGAACATGCACAATCTACTATACAAACACTAGCACCAGTACGACCCATAATTTATATTTTATTATTGTAATATGATATGAATGTACCTAGAGGATCCATTGATATAATTTTTAATCTTGTGCATTCAATTTTAATAGATTAGAGTTACATTGCATGTTGAAAGATTATGCATAATTGTGTGATTGAACTTGTGATTGAGTGAATGCAATGAAAGATAGATTAATGATCAATATTATTTTGGAGATTTGAATGGATTTAAGTTGATTGATTGGTTTTGAATCATGTTGATTTGCTTAAGTGAATTTATGAAATTGAATTTGTTTTGTATGTTTTGTTCATGGAATGTTGAGGGTGACATATTTTTTAAGTGGGTAGATTTTAAAGGACGTATAAAAATGTTTTGTTCGTGGATTTGTTTTTTATTTAGTCATGGATGTTCTCACTAGACTTATTTAAGAGGATGTACCTTGGTGTATGATTTTGTTTGATGATATCCTTCTTGTTGATAAGACTAGAGAGGGAGTTGGAGGTAAACTTGAATTATGTAGGTCAACATTAGAGTCTAGAGATTTTTGCTTGAGTAGATCTAAAATTGAATATATATAGTGTAATTTTAGTAGTAATATACATGAGGGGATTGTGACTTTGGACGATCGAGTCATTAATAAGAGTTCACGTTTTAGATATATTGGATATATTGTTCATAGTGATTAGTGATGGTGAAATTGATGTGGATATTATCACCATAATTCAAGTTGGATGGTTAAAGCGGAGGAATGCATTGGGCTTGTTGTGTGATAAAAAAGTCCCCCTCAACCTTAAAGGAAAATTCTATAAGATGGTGGTGAGACCTGCAATGCTTTATGGTGTTGAATGTTGGCTATTAAAAGATAATCATAATGCTAGTTGAGTGTCAAAGAGATGAGGATGCTCAGGTGGATGAGTGCCTTTACCCTAGAAATAGGTTATGAAATGAGCATATATATGTGAAAAGGTTGGAGTAGCTCCAGTGGAAGATAAGATTAGAGAGAGTCTCCTTAGATGATTTGGTCACATAAAATGTTGGCCTTAGGATAACCCGGTTAGGAAAGTAGAGGTATTAGATTTCTTAATGATTTTTACAAATGCCTAAAATTATGAAAAAAATCATATAATTAAAATACTATAATATCAATGCTATGACGAAGGTAGTTTTTGATTTAGACTTATATTAATTCTAAAAAATATTTATTTAACTGGGTTAAAATACAGACAATTACAAATACAATATGATGCCAAATTTACTACATTGGAAAGATAAGCTTTACAGTTACTTAGTACAACATATGAAAAATGCTACTAATTCTTGATTGTATTTAAGGCTTAGTTGAGGCTCTCGCTTGTATCATCCAATTTTTAGAGTTAATAGATTGAGGAGATTAGTGGAGAATGATTTGACTGTTTCCCAGTTCATACATAATTTAAGTAGGAAGACATTAAGAGATAAATTGACCTGTCGAGATAGAAGCGAAAAGAGTAGCAAAGTTTTAGACAACAAAAAAGAACATGAGTCTAGTATAAGCAATATACCATAGTGTTCTAGATGTGGAAAAAGACATACTATATATTATTCTCTATGACTTGACTGTCTTGCAGGTGTGGATAGTGAGAACATCTACTATTTTGGAGATTTTTTTTTATCTACTATTTTGGAGATTTGAATGAATTTAAGTTGATTGATTGGTTTTGAATCATGTTGATTTGTTTAAGTGAATTTATGACATTGATTTTTTTAATCGAATTGAATTTATTTCTTATAGTTTGTTCATGGAATGTCGAGGGCGATATTTTTTTTTAAAGTGGGTAGATTTTAAAGAGCAAATAAAAATGTTTTGTTCATGGATTTGTTTTTGTTTTAGTCATGGATGTTCTCACTAAACATATACAAGAGGATGTAACTTGGTTTATGCTTTTTGTTGATGATATTCTTTTTGTTGATAAGACTAGAGAGGAAGTTAAAGGTAAACTTGAATTAAGGAGGTCAATCTTAGAGTCTAAAATTTTCACTTGAGTAGATCTAAAAATGAATATATGGAGTATAATTTTAACAGTAATATACCTAGTGAGGGGATTGTGACTTTGGACGATCAAGCTAGTCATTAATAAGAGTACACGCTTGAACTTGTGATTGAGTGAATGCAATGAAAGATAGATTAATGATCAATATTATTTTGGAGATTTGAATGGATTTAAGTTGATTGATTGGTTTTGAATCATGTTGATTTGCTTAAGTGAATTTATGAAATTGAATTTGTTTTGTATGTTTTGTTCATGGAATGTTGAGGGTGACATATTTTTTAAGTGGGTAGATTTTAAAGGACGTATAAAAATGTTTTGTTCGTGGATTTGTTTTTTATTTAGTCATGGATGTTCTCACTAGACTTATTTAAGAGGATGTACCTTGGTGTATGATTTTGTTTGATGATATCCTTCTTGTTGATAAGACTAGAGAGGGAGTTGGAGGTAAACTTGAATTATGTAGGTCAACATTAGAGTCTAGAGATTTTTGCTTGAGTAGATCTAAAATTGAATATATATAGTGTAATTTTAGTAGTAATATACATGAGGGGATTGTGACTTTGGACGATCGAGTCATTAATAAGAGTTCATGTTTTAGATATATTGGATATATTGTTCATAGTGATTAGTGATGGTGAAATTGATGTGGATATTATCACCATAATTCAAGTTGGATGGTTAAAGCGGAGGAATGCATTGGGCTTGTTGTGTGATAAAAAAGTCCCCCTCAACCTTAAAGGAAAATTCTATAAGATGGTGGTGAGACCTGCAATGCTTTATGGTGTTGAATGTTGGCTATTAAAAGATAATCATAATGCTAGTTGAGTGTCAAAGAGATGAGGATGCTCAGGCGGATGAGTGCCTTTACCCTAGAAATAGGTTATGAAATGAGCATATATATGTGAAAAGGTTGGAGTAGCTCCAGTGGAAGATAAGATTAGAGAGAGTCTCCTTAGATGATTTGGTCACATAAAATGTTGGCCTTAGGATAACCCGGTTAGGAAAGTAGAGGTATTAGATTTCTTAATGATTTTTACAAATGCCTAAAATTATGAAAAAAATCATATAATTAAAATACTATAATATCAATGCTATGACGATAATATCAATGCTATGACGAAGGTAGTTTTTGATTTAGACTTATATTAATTATAAAAAATATTTATTTAACTGGGTTAAAATACATGCAATTACAAATACAATATGATGCCAAATTTACTACATTGGAAAGATAAGCTTCACAGTTACTTAGTACAATATATGAAAAATGCTACAAATTCTTGATTGTATTTAAGGCTTAGTTGAGGCATTCGCTTGTATCATCCAATTTTTAGAGTTAGTAGATTGAGCGAGATTAGTGGAGAATGATTTGGCTATTTCCTACTTCATACATAATTTAAGTAGGAAGAGATTAAGAGATAACTTGGCCTGTCGAGATAGAAGCGAAAAGAGGAGCAAAGTTTTAGACAGCAAAAAAGAACATGAATCTAGTATAAGCAATATACCATAGTGTTCTAGATGTGGAAAAAAAACATACTAGATATTATTCTCTATGACTTGACAGTCTTGCAGGTGTGGATAGTGAGAACATCTACTATTTTGGAGATTTGAATGAATTTAAGTTGATTGATTGGTTTTGAATCATGTTGATTTGTTTAAGTGAATTTATGACATTGATTTTTTTAATCGAATTGAATTTATTTCGTATAGTTTGTTCATGGAATGTCGAGGGCGATATATTTTTTTAAGTGGGTAGATTTTAAAGAGCAAATAAAAATGTTTTGTTCATGGATTTGTTTTTGTTTTAGTCATGGATGTTCTCACTAAACATATACAAGAGGATGTACCTTGGTTTATGCTTTTTGTTGATGATATTCTTTTTGTTGATAAGACTAGAGAGGAAGTTAAAGGTAAACTTGAATTAAGGAGGTCAATCTTAGAGTCTAAAATTTTCACTTGAGTAGATCTAAAAATGAATATATGGAGTATAATTTTTACATTAATATACCTAGTGAGGGGATTGTGACTTTGGACGATCAAGTCATTAATAAGAGTACACACTTTAGATATCTTGGATATATTGTTCATAGTAATGGTGAAATAGATGAGGATATTATCAGTAAACTTCAAGTTGGATGGTTGAAGTAGAGAAATGCATCGGGCTTGCTGTGTGATAAGGGAAAATTCTATAAGATGGTGGTTAGACCAAGTGAAGGATTTTGACAAGATTAAACAGAGTAATAGAATTTAGATGATATTTATGTAAATAATAATGTTTAAGTATTAGATATATAAATAGAATAATTTTTAAATATTATGTATGAAAAATTCTTTTAAAAAAAACTTTTTTGAATGTTTTAATCTGCGCGGTTATTAATGTTCTGTACGTATAGGCCCTCCATTCACCCCATCCTCCTAACAGCTATTTACGAGCAGTATCTACTCCTCTCCTCCACCAGCTCTGCAGCTTCACTATTGACATGTGATTCCGTCCCGACGTATTTAAGATGATTTAATTGCTACGTGTCCCCCGAATCCGATATATAAACACTCCTTTCACTTCCTCAGCTCCGCCACCCACCGACAATGCCTGGCGGATCCCACAACCTTCTTCTTCTACTCCTCCTCCCCCTCCTTCTCCTCCCCGGCGGCGGCCGCAGCCACGCTAGCAATGCTATTCGCCTCCATGAAGAGACCGCCACCGCCGCCAGCCACTGCGCCGGAACTCTTTTTCCCTCTCTCTGTCTCTCCACCCTTCTTTCCATTCCCAACCTCTCCTCCAAATCCCTCCCATCCATCATTTCCGCCGCAATAAACCACACCGCCGATGCCGTTAACGCCTCCCACCGCAACTGCTCCTCCATTTACCACCGCCTCCGTAACCTCGACTCACTCCAACGCCTCGCTCTTTCCGACTGCCTTGAACTACTCGACTCCTCCCTCGACTTCCTCCACCTGGCATTCAAAGATCTTTACCACACCAACTCTTCCAGTTGCCGCTCGGAGCTCATCACCGTGCTCTCCGCCTCGATAACCAACCAGTTCACCTGCCTCGACGGCTTCGCCTACGTCCCCGACCGCGTCATCAACATCCGCCCTTCCATTGAACGTTTCCTCGTCCATATCTACCGTCTTGTCAGCAACATCCTCGCCTTGTCCAAGAAAATCCCCCCGCCGCCGCCTCCTCCGCCGCCGTCGAAGCCCGCCGTCGAGGCTTTCGAGGGTTACGGAGGGATGAAAGGTGGGTTTCCGGCGTGGATGACGTGGACTGACAGGCGGCTGCTGCAGGCGACGACTCCGGGGGGTTTGACTGCGAATTTGGTGGTGGCGAAGGATGGGAGCGGGAATTTCACGACGGTTGGTGAGGCGGTGGCGGCGGCGCCGAATAACAGCGCGACGAGGTTCGTTATATACATAAAAGCCGGGGGGTATTTCGAAAATGTGGAGGTGGGGAAGAACAAGATTAATCTTATGTTCGTCGGAGATGGGATCGGGAAGACGGTGATAAAGGCCAGCCGCAATGTCGTCGACGGCTGGACAACTTTCCGTTCAGCCACCGTCGGTGAGCTCATCCATTTATATAATATAATATATTAAATGCAGAGTTTTAATATTATACGTAAGCCATCGCATGGCATTGGCACCTATCAAATCGCACGGAGGTGCAGTGCAATAATTGACAGTTGATAATTTTATGGAAGAATTATGGAGAAATTATTAGCTGAAGATGCATTGTCTCTATCTTTCGCGTTTAATTTTGAGGAAAAACAAAGTCCGAAACTTTATGATTAAATTTTTAATCATGAAAAACATTATTAATTTGTGAAAGCTTTAAAATATATTATGATCGATCGTGTTATTATTAAATGAAATGAATGACTTAGATCTAAATGATTTGCAGCTGTGGTGGGCAACAGATTTATCGGGCGAGACTTGACCATAGAGAACTCCGCCGGAGCCAGCAAACACCAAGCCGTAGCCCTCCGCACCGGCTCCGACCTCGCCGCCTTCTACCGCTGCAGCTTCGTCGCGTATCAAGACACTCTCTACGTTCACTCACTCCGCCAATTCTACCGCGACTGCGATATATACGGCACCATCGATTTCATCTTCGGCAACGCAGCCGTCGTCTTCCAGAACTGCAATCTGTACGCCCGAAAGCCCGATCCAAATCAAAAGAACATTTTCACCGCCCAGGGTCGGGAAGATCCTAATCAGAACACAGGAATTTCGATCCAGAACTGTAAGGTCTCCGCCGCCGCCGATCTTCTTCCCGTTCTGTCCCAATTCAAAACCTACCTTGGCCGGCCATGGAAAAAATATTCGAGAACGGTCTACCTGCAGTCTTTTCTGGATAGCTTGATTGATCCGGCTGGATGGTTGGAATGGAACGGGACGTTTGCGTTGGATACTTTGTATTATGGGGAGTACAAGAACAGTGGGCCGGGGGCGAATACGACGGCGAGGGTCCAATGGCCGGGCTACAGAGTCATTAATAGTTCGACGGAGGCTAATCAGTTCACGGTTTCGAATTTTATTGAAGGAGATCAGTGGTTGGGATCTTATGATGTGCCCTTCAGTCCTGGCTTGAATTAATTCGATCCGATCGATCCTTTCAACTCTTCTCATCCAAATCCCAAATAAGCTTAACAAGTTTGAGGAGACATTTCCGTTCTGTTCTGTTCTGTTTTCCGGTCAATTAAATTTGATTTAAGGATAGCGACTCTTTGGCTGCTTATAGCTAATTTGAGATATCTCTGCATCGCGCGTGTACTGCATGCCTGCACCCATATGCAGAATTTTTATTTGGCCCGGTGTCCTGACGTAACTTTTCGTTCGGACGTCAGTAAAATGATGTCACGTGTTCTTATTCTTTACCGTGCGGCCCGACGACCGGATCCGGACCGGACCCAGGATTATTATGTATTGGCTGATTTGTACAGACCGGGGTATTGCTAGGCATTGCTCGGCAATAATGAGAAATATCATTCTGTCAAGACCAATACCGAGAGATACCGAGCAATACCCCGGTTTTGCTAGGTATTGCTCGATATTGCTAGGTATTGCTCGGTATTACTCTGTATTGCTATGTATTGAGCTTGACAGAGCAGCATTTCTCGTTATTGTCAAGCAATACCTCGCAATACCTAGCAATACTAAGCAATACCTAACAATACACGAACATAGCAATACCGGGTTCCGGTCTGGGTCGGGTCGTCGGGCCGCACGGTAAAGAGTAAGAACACGTGTTGACATGTTATTGGCCTTCGGATGTAGAGCTACGTCCGGTGTCCAGACCTAATAATTATTCCCATATGCAACATTTCGGGCTGCTGCTTCTAAGTTCTAATAATAATAAGTTTTAATAATAATAAGTTTTACGATGGACTATTGGACTGGACTGCTTTGGCTCCTTTAAATGCACCTTATTAGGTTATTTGACTGTCGGCCTGTGGATGTATATTGTATTATTAGGGAGGCCTTTTTATTTAGGAGAGTTCAAATGGGCCAGCCCAAGCAATCCACTAAAGTCCTAAGCCCTTTTAATGTTTTTTCATCCTCCCAATAAAATTCAAATTTAAAACTAGCATTTATTTGTTATTATTAAATAGCAAATTAATAAATTAGTTTATGTGGATCCCACTCAGGATTTTATAATTTTCAAGTAGATTTATCGTAAGGTATTGTATTTTATGCCATACAAGTGCCGGTTCTCAATTGCTTTTTTAATGCGATTTTTCTTTTTAACTTATCGGGAAAGGTTCATCCTAATCCTTCTCCAGCTTTCTTTGTTGCAGGCGTTTGACTATATTGATGATTGCTTTGGGCCTAATTAGGCGTGTCAATTTTGGGTCACGGATTGAATCTGAAATTGACCCGGCACTATTCAAGGTCAACTCGAGCTCGACCCTCTTCATGTCCGGATCAACCCGTTACGACCTGAATGACCTGGTGCCAACAAAAAAACTACTAGTTTTTGGGTCCAAAAAAGGGTCAATCTCTACTTTTCGTGTCAAAAACAGGTCAATCTCGGGTTGCCGGGTAAAAAACAGGTCAATTTTGGGTCAAAGGGTCAACCCGGACCCGACCTGATTTTTGAAACGGGTCGAATTGTTGAACCCGAACCAGAGTTCGGGTTAATTTCGGGTTTGAGTCGGGTTTTCGGGTTGTGTCAAATATTGACACGCCTAGGCCTAATCCACCTGAGGTGGTTCATGCATATGAGCTTGCTACTTCCTTTATTGTCTATTTTATTTGGCAAGAACATAATGTTGCATTATTCAAGAATCAATTTCATACTTTGGATATTGTCTATCATATGATAATAAATGAATCTAGATGAAATATATAAATGAAAACTTCAAAAGTAAATTTAGAATCATCTAAACTCAGATTTTAATAAACTTATAATTAATTTAAACATCAGGGTGAGAAGAACTCAACAACAACAACAATAACATCAAGTTTTTATCCTACTATGTAGGGTCGGTTAGATAAATCCTTTTTCTGCATTGTACCACGTTGTTAAAAGTTAAGTTCTCATTTTAATCTAATAAAGAAAGGTCATTATAATATTTCCTTACTAAGACTTTTTAGGTCTATCTCTATCCTTCTTAACATAAGTCAAATATAATATATCTATTTTCCTAACCGAGTAATCGGAAGGCCGCCATTTTATGTGACCAAACCATCCAAGGCGACTCTCTCTAATCTTATCTTCCACTGGAGCTACTCCAAACTTTTCACATATATGCTCATTTTATATCCTATCTCTAAGAGCAAAGCCACTCATCTACCTAAACATCATCATCTTTGCAACGCTTAACTTAATATTATGTTTCTCTTTTAATGGATAATATTATGCACTATAAGGCATTGCAGGTCTAACCACCATCTTATAGAATTTTTTCTTAAGTTTGAGGGGGACTTTTCTATCACACAACAAGCCCAACCCCTGAAAAAAAGGAGTAAAAACACGGGGCCTAGCCCAGTTTGAATGAATCCACTAGTATTTGCAGTCGATTACAAATGAGGCCCTTCCTTGGGAGAAGGCCTTGGCTTGATGGTACAAATGTACATCAAATAGAGCGCATTACATGGTGGGAGTTATAATAATCAACATAGACATGTTTATTTGGTTGGAAGGACCATTGTCGGCAAGAGATAGAAAGCAGAAGGACCGTAGTCAACAGGAGACCGGGGTCAGAAAGACCTTTGTCTGTTGATGGAGGTCGGAAAGACCATAGTAGGCGACGGAAGTCAGAAGAACCATAGTCTGCAGGAGACCAAGGTTAGAAAGACCGTTGTCTATTGATGGAGGTCAGAAGGACCATAGTAGGCGACGGAGGTCAGAAGGATCGTAGTCGGCAGGAGACCGAGGTCAGAAAGACCGTTGTCTGTTGATGGAGGTCGGAAGGACCATAGTAGGCGACGGAGGTCAGAAGAAACATAGTCGGCAGAAGACCGAAGTCAGAAAGACCGTTGTATGGTGATAAAGGTCAGAAGGACCATAGTAGGCGACGGAGGTCATAAGGACCGTAGTCGACAGGTGACTGGGGTTTCAAAGACCATTGTCTGGTGATGAAGGTCGGAAGGACCATAGTAGGCGACGGAGGTCAGAAGGACCATAGTTGGCAGGAGACCGAGGTCTGAAAGACCGTTGTCTGGTGATGGAGGTCGGAGTGACCATAGTAGGCGACGGAGGTCGGGAGGACTGTAGTCGGCAAGAGACTGGGGTCTGGAAGACCATTGTCTGGTGATGGAGGTCGGAATGACCATAATAGGCGACGAAGGTTTGAAAGACCATAGTCGGCAGGAAATTGGGGTCTGGAAGACCATTGTCTGGTGATGAAGGTCGGAAGGACCATAGTATGCGACAAAGGTCAGAAGGACCGTAGTCGGCAGAAGACCGGGATCTGAAAGACAGTTATCTGGTGATGGAGGTTAGATTGATCATAATAGGCGACAGAGGTCGGGAGGATCGTAGACGGCAGGAGACCGGGATCTGAAAGACCATTGTCTGGTGATGGAGGTCGGAAGGACCATAGTAGGTGACGAAGGTCTGAAAGATCGTAGCCGGCAGGAGACTGGGGTGTGGCAGACCATATTAGGAGACGGAGGTCAGAAGGACCATAGTAGGCAACGGATTTCAGAAGGACCTTAGTCTGCAGGAGATCGGGGCCTGAAAGGCCGTTGTCTGGTGATGGAGGTCAGAATGACCATAGTAGGAGACGGAGGTCGAGAGGACCATAGTCGGTAGGAGTCCGGGGTCTGAAAGACCATTGTCTAGTGATGGAGGTCGGAAAGATCATAGCAGGCGACGAAGGTCTGAAAGATCGTAGTCGGCAGGAGACTGGGGTCTGGAAGACCATAGTAGGCGACGAAGGTCAGAAGGACCATAGTAGGCAACGGAGGTCAGAAGGTCCGTAGTCGGTAGGAGACCGGGGTCTAAAAGACCGTTGTCTGGTGATAGAGGTCAGAGTGACCATAGTAGGCGAGGACCGTAGTCGGCAGGAGACCGGGGTATGAAAGACCCTTGTCTGGTGATGAAGGTCGGAAGGACCATAGTAGGCGACGAAGGTCTGAAAGACCGTAGTCGGCAGGAGACTGGGGTCTGGAAGACCATAGTAGGCGACGGAGGTCAGAAGGACCATAGTAGGCGACGGAGGTAAGAAGGACTGTAGTCTGCAGGAGATCGTGGTCTGAAAGACCGTTGTTTGGTGATAGAGGTCAGAGTGACCATAGTAGGCGACCGAGGACAGGAGGGCCATAGTCGGCAGAGATCGGGGTCTGAAAGATCGTTGTCTGGTAGAACTCTGGGCGTCAAGTGGTGGTTTGGCAGAGCATAGAGCATCAAGTGGTGGTCCGGCGGAAGTCTGGACATCAGGTGGTCGAGGAAGGCGAGGGCCTCAAGTGGTGGTCCGGTGGAGCAATGGCATCAGGTGGTGGTCCGGTGGTGGTGGACCAGTGGTGGTTCGACGGAACTCAGGCGGTGGTCCAGCGAAACTCCGGCGGTGGTCGAGGAGGCAAGGGAGCAATAGCCATCTCCGATCTCTCTCTTGTTTCCTTAGGATTAAGGGTCCCCCCTTTTCAAGAGGAGAGGGGGCTCTATTTATAGATTTTGGGAATGGCACGACCTGTAAATAGGTGGAGGATCATGGGGAAGTTGGGAGTGGTTGAATGGACGGCCGATCTTGAATCTCTTGATCATAAATCATTCCATGAACATTTGGATGTCATAGTGATGTCGGAATTCCGTGATATCTGGCTCGTTGGATTTGTCTCGTTGAGCCGCTCGGTTCGATTGTAAGTTTGCTGAAATCGGAGTTGAGATGGTCTCTGAATTAATTTCGAAAGTTTTCAACTTGATTTTGCATTGAGATTCGTGCCCGATCCAAATAATTTTTTGAGGACATATCAAATCTAAATTAATTTTGAGAAACATTAGCATCATGCTACAAACTATGCTCCATAACTCTCTCCCATAGTTTTAAAGTATGACACATTAACTTAATTCTTCTATAATTCACACAATATTGTCCATCACATTTATTCTTAAAAATATGAATCAATACACTTATTTTATACTCATATGATATCTTTTTAGTCTTCAAATAATATTAAAAAGTTTATTAAGACAAAAAATTCCTTCTTCTCCTAAGTATTTTCACATCTCTATCTGGATCAACCCGT